TATATATATATACTATTTTGTATCTTTGGTTTTCACTTGTCAAAAGTGACATTCCCGCCAGTATGTCAAAAGAAATCACACAGTGCAGCGGGTATTTGGAGGGTGTCACTGGTAGGTCCTACTTCTTTCCTTCCCATCTCTTGTTTCTGTCTATCTGTCTGACCTATTCCTTGTACCATGTGACCGTTGTTGGGTCGATGTGCTTCTATTTACTCAAACTCAAAGCTCAAACGCACAGAATAAAGCATTAGTTGTGTATAATCTTCACGGCTGTCTGATTCCAGATACATACTCTGTTGTTTGAATGAAAAACCTATGTAGTATCTACCATCATCTCGTTTTGTCTGAACTTTTAAAAAAGAACAACTTTAACAGCTTTACTGTCTGTTCCAATTGTGTAAACTCTATAATGTTTGAATATTCGTTGAATACAGACACATCACTTATTTCCAAACTAACAGAGAAAGTTGTGGGTGTTTTCAATCAAATCAATGCTTTAAAAAAGACAGTTTGTCGGGGAGTTACATTTATTACGTTGTTGTTGTTGTTGGGGTTTTTAAAAATTCAATCTGCAGCTCTGTGCTCTTGAGCACAAAGCAGCGCGCCCTGTTGAGACGAGTAATACAATATCGGAACTTTGTGATCTCCATAAGACACCTTAGGCCTACTAAAACTAAAACCAAAGCAAGCATAAATCATTAGTTGTGGATAACGTTCACCGCTATTTGACTCCAGATACCTACCTACAATGCCATTGATCTCACTGCAGTGATGCTCCGTAGCCCGGTGTAATGCAATAATATTGTACCCTTGTTACCTCCACAAGGCATTTTACTTAAACCAAAACTAAATCAAATCATTAGTTGTGGATAACCTTCATGGCAATGTGACTTCAGATACCTACAACGCCCTTGAGGACAAAGCAGCGCGCCCTGTACACTGTATCCCCGTATACTACAATAATATTGGACCCTTGTGATCTCCACAAGGTATCTTACTTAAACCAAAACTAAAACAAATCTTTAGTAGTGGATAACCTTCACGTCTATGTGACTCCAGATACCTACAACGTATCGGTACGCCCTTGAGGACAAAGCAGCGCGCCCTGTACATTATAGCCCCGTGTTCTACAACAATATTGGACCCTGGTGATCTCCACAAGGTACTTAACTTAAACCAGAGAGTGCTTAAACCAAAACTGAAACAAATCTTTAGTTGTGGATAACCTTCACGTCTATGTGACTCTAGATACCTACAACGTATCGGTACACCCTTAATGACAAAGCAGCGCGCCCTGTACACTGTAGCCCCTTGTAATACAATATGGAAACCGTGGGATCTCGACAAGACACCCGACCCGAGTCTCTTTGTTTACAAGCCGCTGCCTCCAGGACTTTGGGGAGTCTTCACAATACCCTCCGTATCGATTTTTGATCGAACCGACTTGACTATAACAGGACCGGCTCACTCTTTATCGCGTCGCGAAGCCAAACATGTTTGGTTGTCACAGACAGATAGACAGACAGACAGTCGAGCGGAGCGAGGGGGAGGTAGGGCGGGAGGGGGTGGGGGAGATGATCCTTCCACAGATAATGCACATCCTAAATGTTACGAGAACCGAGAAAATTATTTTGTTAGAAAAATAAATCAGAAGTGCATCGTTAAAGAGTTGTACAAATCTGTAAAATAATATTGATTTTGAGAAAACAGCAACAAAACAGAGCACTATTGAAGTAGAGGGAATTACCTATTGCTGTGCTTACTAAGTTGTCTTCAGTTTGTTGTCGAACTAAACAATATTCACACACACACACACACAC